ATATATATATATATATATATATATATATATATATATATATATATATATATGTCTTTTTAAATCAGCGACTTTCTGAATCTAAAGTTTCAAAACCTTGCACGTTGGCACTCATGTCCTCCAAAGCCATCAGGAAAGTCAATAAAGATTTCTATTGCAAACATTTCTATAAAGCCTTACAGTAGAGTATTACTGTGGAAAATAATTTCTTCCTGCAAAAGGCTCCAGCTGTATTTCAGTGTGATTTATGAGCTGTCCCACATGCGTTCATGTGCAGGTATGTCCACAGATTTTCAATTATGCCCAGGTCAGATGAAAAGGCAAAGCCTACAGTGGGATTTTTATTCCACTGCAGAAGCTCTTTTATCTTCTGTTACCTCCCATACGTTGGTTTTGACTTCCAGAGTTTTCTGTTATTTATTGAATGTGTCTTGTGAAATATTCCTATGTCAAAGGATCCAAAGGATCATTTATCAGTCTCGCTGCACTTTGCCATTTTTAATGTTCTACCTTAATCTGCATAGATTTGCTCATCAGGCCAAATATGTTTATTTTCACATTACTGGATTTGGCTTGAGTGTATTTCTTTTTGTTGTTAAGGAGCTGTATTTTATTTTATTTATTTTTTGACCCATTAATGAAAGTCATACATACCTTTGTAATATTTGATCAGTATGTCAGCACTCGCACATTACCTTAACTTAACCCAGCAAAACTTTGGCTTTGATTTGCATCTCTTTCTATTCTTTAAGAACGTTGTAACTGTTGTCACCTCACTTCAAAACACCCATATCCAGATTTCATTTATTACTTGGGAGTAGTTCAGGACATTTATTTTAATTCACTCACAAAGTGACATGTTATTATTACTACAGAGTCATAAAGTCAGAACTTTCTTTTCTTCTGTGTTGATGGTTTACTTTGGCAGACGCCCCCTGATTAAATGTTTGCGGGCTAAATCAAATATACAAACGGAAGCATATTTTTCCTGCGCTTTTGTGTCAGCAGTCGGAGCGAGTTCATCGACCTGTAAATTTGATACTGGCTCACTTCAAATGAGACCAGAAATGATTATTTCTAGCAGCGAGTCTAAAAGCCTCCTGAACTTCCCTCATTTTAATTTTTTCTCAGAATTGTCTTTAATCTTTACGAGCAGAGGGACGATCACAGGTGACTCATCTGCCTGCTAAAACATTTAGAATGACAGCTCCGCCTCTACACGGACTGTTCACTCACTTTTCATACTACAGGCATTTCACTGTAGTCATTTGGGCAGCGTCTCCCGTCTCCTCCTCTCTGATATGACCAGAATATCATCCCGGCTCTGACAGCACAGTGAGAGCTGTTTAAACACGACTTGTCTCGCAGTTAAAGTAACACACCTTTCCTTGTCACTTCCCAACTCTCCTTCAGCGCAGACGTTTACATCCACTCACACAAGCTGTCTTTCTCTCACTGAACATTTGTCTCCCACCAGGTATTCTTCCTTCTTCTTTAGGCGGAAAGAGATTTATGTCATCCAGTAAGTTGGGTGTTTAGTGTGTGTGTGTGTGAGGCTCATTTTTACATGTTTGCATGTTGTATTCTTGTTTTTTTTCTCTCTCTTAATTCCTCATAAAGTATGTTTGCGTGTGTGTGTGCGTGCGTGTGTGTGTGTGATGTCATCATGTTGCCTATTAAGGCTTGCGTCAAACCCTCCATCTGTGCAGTTTTAGAAAGGCTTTTGTGGAGGCTGATAGTTCAATGAATCAGTGACATCAGTGTTTTACCAACTGCCTGCATGCTTTCCTCCATCCCTAGTAGAGGGATGAACAGCTTTGCTGAAGCTCCTCTCCGTAAAACCGTTTTAATTTGTTTATGCAACCTCAAATCGCTTGGAAGACAGGGGGGCATAAACAGTAAGCTTCATCAACTGTCGAAGATCTGAGTAGATCCCACAGGAAAAGACCTGCTCACTTTTCATGTAACCAATCGTCATTGTCATTAAGATGAAAATCGAGGCATGCATCAGTGTTGTGTGGATTTGATAAAAAAAATAAAAAAATGGTTTAACCCTCTTTTCTAAACGGGGTTTTCTAAACACATATCTCGGTGTACTTTCTGCTGCGAAGATTAGTTAAATTTTTATGGACAGCGATGCCAAAGTGTGGGCTGCGATCATTGCATTAATTTGTTTATTTTGCTTCTATTTTCGTCCAGGCTGCTCAGCTACAGGAAGTCGCTCAAGTAAGTCATCTTTTATAAATGATGCGAGCATGCACACAGCAGCTGCTGGAGGAATCAGCATGTTCTGCATGGCTCTGCGCCTCTCATAACCTAAAATAAGTTGACAAAGAATGGCGCATTGTTGACTCTGTCTGTCGCTCGCAGTCAGTGCATTTCTCTCCTGTCGTCTCTGTCAGGCCTGTCAACAAGAAATCCTTCCTGCAGCACGTAGAAGATCTGTGTGCCAACGACAACGCAAAGTTCCAGGAGGAGTTTTCGGTAAATGTTTGGCTAAAACCCAGAAAGGCCCGAGCCCTGCATATGTAGCACCTTGCAAAAGTGTTCATAAATCTTGGACTTGTCCTCATGTATTCATGTTTCTGCCACATATTTATAGGTGTTTAATTTGGATTTTATGATACAATAACACAGAGCACGTGCATAAGCCATCATGCAAAGCATGATTTCTAAAATGACTTCGAATACAGAAATTACAAACAGAATTGCTGATGGGATTCTTTTGCCAAACCGTGAAAAACAGGTATACATGAGAAAATATTTTGAAGGGAAAAGATTTTGGATTTTCACATAATGTTGCTTTCCAACCCTGCATGAACGTTTGTGCTTCCTTCTCTTCCCAGAGTAGCAACAAAACCCCAAACCCATAAATCTTACCCGACTGCACACAACCTCTGAAGCTCTCATAGATTTCCTATATTTAATGTCTCAATTAGTGTGATCATTTTTAATGAGACAAATCAAGTTAGTTTTGTAAGGTTCAAAGTAACGGCCCAGTGAGTTTATGTGAATGCTAATGTGAATGTGTTTGATTCATTTATTTTTTCTTCTTAATTATTCCTCCAGGAGCTCCCAAAGCTGCTGCCAGACCTGGCCACCACAGACGCCGACCTGCCATGGAATAAATCCAAAAACCGCTTCCTCAACATCAAACCCTGTATGTGGTTAGACTAGAAATGAGCCCTATGAGTCTTACTTTCTGCTTCGTTGTGCCTCCGCAGAGCTGCATTTCACACTGTTCACTTCTCCGTTCTGCATTTAGACAACAACAACCGAGTGAAGCTGCTCTCAGAACCAGGCATGGCAGGATCAGACTATATCAATGCAAGCTTTGTCTCGGTGAGCTTTCACTAAAAAAAAACAAAAAACAAATAAAAACTGTCATGAACTCTGATCAGAGGTATATTTTGAGGTTTATTTTCTCATTTGCTCTTTGCAGGGTTACTTATGTCCCAATGAGTTCATAGCCACTCAGGGTCCTCTGCCCAGCACGGTGGCTGACTTTTGGAGGATGATCTGGGAGACTGGAAGCCGCACTGTTGCCATGCTCACGCAATGTTACGAGAAAGGCAGGGTGCGTCGTTAGAGACATGACAGAAATCAGAGCACAAGTAACATTTCGGGTCTTCCCTCCATGAAGGGATAAACTCTTTTCTGAAGATCTGACAAAATGCTTTGTGTGCTGCGCTGTTGACATTTCAGATTCGGTGTCACAAGTATTGGCCTGAGGACAACAAGCCAATGACAGTGTTTAGTGACATTCTCATCTCTAAAGTATCAGAAGAAGTGCTTCCTGATTGGACTGTCAGAACGCTGAAAGTAGAAAAGGTAGCAAAGCCTCCTGAATACAAACACACGACTCTTGAGCACACACACACACACACACACACACACGTTGTTCTCCAGACGTATAGGTACACCTAAACAACATTTGTGGAAAAAGCCTTCTCACTTTGATAGGTGGCAAGATAAACTCTGGCCTTCATTTGGCTTTGTGTGTCACTTTTAACTTTGAGTTACAGCTGTGATTGTAGATAAGGGTGACCTTTGGCAAGTAGGTCCTTCCTTGTTGATATTTTTTGGATTATGAAGAGCAACACATATCAAAGATCCTAAAAGAAATTTACAAAAACTTTGGCAGAGGGATTGATTTAATAGAAATTCTTTCCTTGTTTCCTGGAGATAGGCACTGGCGGGCCATGACAGTGAACAGATAAGCGGGTGTAAAAACTTTATATTTTAGTGTAATACTGCTTGAAATCTAGCAGAGATTTCAAGCAACTTTAGCTTGTGTTGTTGTCATTCACATCAAGGTAAGTCAAGTTTATTTGCGTAGCACATCTCAGTGGATCAAAGGGTTTTACACCAATTAATTATAAGCTAAATAAGGTAAAATTTCCTAATAATGAGCTGAGTATTTAACATGTTGCCCTCATGTTTTTACACTAAACCACATCTATTGCTCTCTGCAGCATGGGCACTACAATTTAGTCAAACACTTCAACTACACTTCATGGCCTGAGCACGGGGTCCCAGAATCCTGCAGCACCTTGATTAAGTTTGTCAAAGCTGTCCGAGCACATCGTCATGACAACTCCACCATAGTGGTCCACTGCAGGTGGGGTTAAAAGAATAGTTTGAATATCCAACAGTACATTCTGATTATAAAAAAGAAGCAGATTCCCAGATTCTGGTGTAAGTGTGATTTGGGTTTTCTTGTTGTTCCCTCAGTGCGGGCGTGGGAAGAACAGGCGTGTTCGTTGCTCTCGATCATCTTATTCAGCACGTCAGGGATCATGACTTTGTGGATATTTACGGGCTGGTGGCTGAGCTGCGCAGTGAGAGGATGTGCATGGTGCAGAACCTGGTGAGTTCAACAGGAGACAAAAGCCAGAGATCAGTATTTTGGATTTTGATGCTACAACAGATTAAAAAAAAACTATAGAAAATGTTGAAATAACTCTGCTAAGCATGAATTACTGAATCCACAACCGAGTTTATAAAATTTGGATTCAAAATCTTAAAAAAAAAAAAAAAAAAAAAAAATCAAGAAGAAAAAAACAAACTTGACTCCCTACTAAAATTATCTGAACTGATTTTACCACATGAATGCCACAAAGCTGTACGGTTATGTAAATGTGCAAAATACAGACATTTGAATAGAAAATAAGCAGATCCACATGTGGTTGGCTCCATTCCAAATTGTCAATGCCCTGGTGTTATCCTTAAAAAAACATTTATTTTGTATAACTACTAGAATAATCTGCCAGTGGATTAGGGGTAAATGGAAAACAGCAATCTCCTTCTTGAAACAGCATGATCCCATCCGGAAATCACCTCAGTGATTACTTAAGTGATTGCCAGGATTGGCACGGTGCCTAATGCGGGATCCTCTGCTCGTTTTCCTCATCTCATCAAGGTTTTCTCGTGTCTATATTTTCAGCACGTTTCAATATTTAGATTCAGGATTTGAGTCCCGCACTGACTGTCAAAACAAAACCTACACGTATGGCTCTTTTCGGCTGAGTTGTACTGTGCCTGGCATAAGCATCAACACACCTGGATCGTTGTCACATTTTGTCGCAATACAACAAATTCCAGGGCATTTAACTCGTACTCGCAGCTTTAATTTCCACAAACGCAAATGCAGTGGGAACGCTAAAGATTCAACTGAAAATCAAAACGTTATGAATAAAAAATGATAGATTTGCTATGAAGCTTCCAAAAGTGAGCCAAAAAAACAAAAGGCTCCAACCTCCAGGTCAGTTCCTTCTCTTCACACGGCAACACGACTCCTTCAGGTATTTCAATGTATTCAAACTGATCCATGACTCCCAGCAGGAAATATATAGAGCAGCCAACGCCACAGTATGAGAAGCATCCCCATAACAATCACCTGGTTTAAGTGTACTCTGGCTTCAATTCAGTGCTTTGGGATCCATAATAAACATCACAAAGTTACCAAAATGCCACAGTAGATCATAGGCACCTCATTGCCTAGAATTGAAGACATCTATTAACTCTGCGTATTCATGCAGGTCAAACGCATCTTAAAAGATCCTTTGTGCCAGGACCCTGTCTTTTCACCATAAAGAACGAAGGCACACAAGGCACAAAACAAGCAGCTCAGAAATAGTTTCGGTCCTCACATTAGGATGGCTTCTCCTAAAACAGCTCCTGGCCATGCTGGAGACCCTGACAACCTGTTAATGACTTTAGTTTAGTTTTAAATTTTGACCCTGCATATTCCGCCAAACTGCTTTCAGCTGCGTAGCCTCTCGACGGTTCCTAAAAACATTCTTCCTTTCATAATAAAATATGACACCATTTCTCTTTAGGATGGTCAATCTGATTGTTGGCAAATTGTAAACTATTCAACACATGTTGTGTTTCCAACCATGTGATTTTGCAAGGACTTCTTGTCACAAAGTCGTGGCTTCACATAGGCATCATCTAATTGTTACAGTCTTCACAAGTCACTGTACAGCATCTTTGATCAAGTCTTTGCCACTGATCTGTTCAAAGTGTAGTTTTTCATTTTCTTCAATGTCGCTCTGGTTTTGGTTTCTCTTTACCAAAATTTAGATCATTTCCTCTAGTCCTTTGCTTTCACCCCTCAAATGTTCTTTGGTGCAGTCTCTGGTATTATTCATATTTTTAACTCATATTTTCAGGGAAGAGCGCTCAATAATCAACATGTAAAATATTTCAAGCTTTTGTCCTTAAACAAAGACAACCTGTTTGACACCTTTTTGTTCAGAGAACGAATGAATACACTGATTTAACTCCTCTGCTATTATTTCGAGCATGCACCTTCCAGTTAATGATTTAATTTCATAAAATAAGCAGCTACATGACATGACCGTTGTGTGTGTGTGTGTGTGCGTGCCTGCGTGTGTGTGTTAGTTACACCTGCTGACGAATTACTTACCATGTAGGAATGTCTGCCACAAACATTGGTTAATCTAGTCAGTGATTTGGCACTGATCTCTCTCCCTCTCTCTTTTTTTTTTTTTTTTTTTTCTTTGAAGTGTTCAAATTTGGTTGAGGAACTTCATTATCCTGCGCAAATCAGTTCTAACAGATTTGTGTCCAAAGCAAATAAATCAGGCAACATGATAGCATGTGTGCACACACAGTCCTAGCTTATTGTCCCATTTCTGCTCTATTGTCAAGAGAATATTGTTTTCAGAATCTGTTTAGAATAAAAAAAATGACAAAGTATCATCTGGTCAGAACCGTCATTACCAGTCTGTGTTTGCGCTGTCAGGCCCAGTACATCTTCCTCCACCAGAGCACTCTGGAACTTCTGAACAACAAAGGCAACAGCCAGTCCATCTGGTTTGTTAACTATTCAGCTCTGGAGAAGATGGACTCTTTGGATGCCATGGAAGGTAAATAACAAACACAAACGTAAGAATGCAAACTTCACACAACAGTGCAGCGCTCAAACCAAAGATTTGTGTTGGTTTTCAGGTGATGTTGAGCTGGAATGGGAAGAGACCACCATGTAAACCACCGACTGGAAGAAAATGTAGAGGAGCTTTTCTTCGACCATAGGACCCTCAACTGGACCTCCACCAGGAAGACAAATGTAGACGATCAGTAAAGAAGACCTGGAAAATAACAAGACTTGGATGTTCCACTTCAAACCCTTTTCTCTGTCCAGTTGTTAACTTTCTTGCACATCCTGTCTGCTTGTTTCCAAAGACAGGAAGATAAACTTTTGGAGGAGCTATAAATATCAGGAATGACATGGACAGACAAGAGAGCATGAGCTAACTGTGAGACTTCTATCTTTGCACAACTGCATTGCATTACTTTAATATTATCTGTTTTTTTAAGATAATTTATTAAGCCAAAATGGGATTTTTTTTTATTCTCTTTGTAACTTTGTTTGCGTTCAGGTATTGTGTATGCTTTTCAAGACTGATTTTGCAAACCCAAAGCGTCTCCTCTTGCTTTGATACTTGACAGTGAAACTCTTCCCTGTGGACTTGCTGTCATCAAATGTTTATTAGCTTTTGATATTAAAAAGAAACATTTTAAAAGTAAAACTTGCCAGTGCTGGTTTCAATGAAGTTGGGGGGAATGGGTGGTTAAAAGAGGTTATATCATGCTTTGGTTTGTTTTTTATCTCTCCAGATGACTGAACAGATTTTGATGTAATGCATCTATAAAATAACAAAGTCAAATGCCTACATCAAACCTAAGTTCTTGATTCTTTTTCCCTGGGACTCAGCCTGTATATAAGTCTTTGATTTAAGAACAATGCCACAGGACTCCTACACAGTCTACAAAAAGTTTGTTTTTTGATTGACATCATGACCGGTTCAACCACGGTGAAGGTGACTGACCCCACACTTGTCCCACAGTTTACCTCTACATAGTATCATAGTGTGACTGTAGGAAAAATGCACAAAAATATGACCAAGAACATACAAGGATTATAAAGAACAGTCCATTAAAGAGTTAAAGGGAGAGTGCTGCAAAGTCCGGATAGAAGTTAAGTCTGCATTTTATTTTAAAATCAAGGTTTCTGAATCTAGAGAAAGCATAAAGAGGCAGAGAATCACAGTTGCTGGAGGACACATGTGATGCTTCTGCAGTCAGTAATGATCCCAGTTATTTACTAGAGGTAGTCCACAGATTTTCTATGTCTAAACTCAAATAAGCTGTCTGCTACGAAATGGTTGAACTCTTTCCTCTGCTGAGTGGCTCGAGGGTATGGGCAATACTCCTGTACTGAAAATCATTTTTATTTGCCCTGTTTAGTATTCAGATTTTCTGAGAAACACATTTTTCTTAGGATTTCATTAAGAAAAAAAAAAAACACATTTATCAAAATAAATCCCTGAAATATAAAATTCTGCATGTATTGAAACTATGTCATGATTGAATTTAATTGTTTGAACGTTAGTACTGCCAAATTAACCTTTATAGGCTTTTATTAGACTAGTGACTTTAATTTAGAGTATTAAGGATTATTTTTGCATCAATACATTCTTTTGTGGCTACGTAGTGGATTGGTGAAAATTGGTTTCTCCCAGTGTATTATTATCAAGCCTGGCGGGCCACCAGGCTTGACTTGTGCCCCCAACAGGCTAAGCATTGCTTATTTATTTAAGTCTTTTTTAAATGTTTCCATTTTTTTAAGACTTTATAGATGGTGTTCAGGTATTAATTTTCCAATCTTTCAATAACATATAATTATCAAGTGATATTTTCAAAATTTATGCCAACTTTAAATATTTTTTTAACCCATAAACATGACGGGCCGCTGGATCAATGACTGCCCTAGCACTCAATCACCAGGCTTAGCAAGTTTTCTGGGGGAAACCTTGGACATTATTGCCTCACAGATGAGAAATTATTATGTATCATTGTGGGGTCAAAGTTTAACTGTGACCCACACAGAGAGTGGAGTTCTCTCTGTGTATTCATGGAGCTTCTCCAAGGTATCCCAGCTTTTTTGCACACTCTAAAAAAACATTATGTGAAGAGCTTTTTCCAAGTTGTTCATAATTACAAGTGTGGGCTTGTGCAGGGTTTGTTCGACCTGTGCGCCTTTTTACATTAAAGTAATGATTACCGGAACAGACCTATTGATAAACTCTCCTTCTGAACCAAACCACTGGGGCTTTTAGAAGTAAAAACTTCATGAATGTTCTGTCAATAAAATAGATTAAGTATATTGGCTCATTTTGGGTAGATTGAATTTGTATAATTGTGAAACAACAACAAACTCTGAGAAATTTGTGTTTAATTTAACTCAATCTCTGTCACACACACCGATGAAAACAAAAATCCACAGCCATGTAATGTAAGATTGAGTGGAATAATTCAGACCTGTTTGACTGAGATTTGCTATTATCCGGCTGCGTTCTCTAATAAATTAGTTTACCTGGTGCACTGGGATGACACAGGAACACCGGCGCAGACCAGTTTCCCATTAGCTCCTTTATTCCACCAATCTTCCTCCACACCTGGTGTGAAATTATCCGCGGTGAGACCCCCGAAGCACACAAACAGCCCGACGCCCGAGAGTAAAAACTACTTTATTCTTTCATTTTCTCCAAACAGAAAAGCTTAGAAATTCCAATAGGAAACACATTGTTCTTTAAGAAATTTCCTTGTTAGAAATACCGTGAGGATGCAAAGATTAACTGACGGTGCTGCACAAGGAGGATGCAGATTTGGTGCGTCTCCATGACAGCCACAGAGAGAAGAGAAGGGAAAGGAGCGGGAGAAAGGGAGGAGAAAATGACATCAATCAAACCCAACATGCCCTGACAATAATGAAACAAACATAGCATCGAGCTCCTGTTGTATTCTGTAAATAATATTAATAAAAAAAAAGAAAACAAAATAAAATTATCATGCGTTATAGTACAAGCCAGTCAGAGTTCATAGTAAACAAAGTGGGGTTGCTGACTTGATAAATCAAGCAGTAAATTTAATCAGAATTTGTTGTTTTAGCAGCTATGTGTAGGCTGTAAATGTGCGTGTGTGTGTGTGTGTGCGTGTGTGGGTATGTGTTTGACTGGTGAATTTTACTGTATGTGTTCACCATTACAGCATAGCCCTTTACACACCTTCACAGGTGCCACTGCCATCTTTTAGTAACGTTGTTAATAATATGATATGACGCTTTAATGATGGATCTAGATCAATAACTAAACTGTTTACGCTACAAAAAACTGCCTGTTTCCCCGACTCTCATAAGGGGGGTTTGCATTTAGGACACCCCCAGTAATAAACGTGAATAGTAACTATAATAACTATATTATTCTTTTTTTTTTTCTTTTAAACTAGATTTTTCTCTGTACAAATACATACGTAGTAGATACACACACTGGGCAAACTGATCACTTGTTTTTTTTGTTTTTTTTTCAGAATAAATCTATTTCATCTATTTACAATATATCCAATATATTCTGTGGTGCAAAAAGACTTAGTGATGTGCTATATATACCGGCTCAAGTCAGACACCATCTATGCTGAGCAATCAACACAGTGATGAGATAAAGAATCATTTCTTAGACATCTTCGGGGTTTTTTTTTTTCCTCCAGCTAAATATTCGCAGAAATGCATCTCTGCTTGTGAAATGTTCCAGTTATTTAAGGAAAATATAACACTGAAAACTCTGAGGTATCTACCCTGTGTAGCATCATTTCGAGGTTTAACAATAGCGCTGTTTTTCTGGGCTTTTTTTTTTTGTTTGTTTAAAGATATACTCTAAATCCAAAAGTAACATGGGTATTCACACTTGGTATTCACAGGAGTAAATGTACATGAGAAGAAGAAAGGCTTTGTGAGCGCCTGTTTTAGCCTTGTTTTGAATGAATTATCGGCCCGAATCCCAGTGGCCCATGAGTAAGCAGCCTGGATACACATGGTGCACACACACTTTGCTCTCTGTGAGGTGCAGACGCAGTATCACATGTTGCAGTGCAGCAGTCTTTCCCGTCAGAGCAACAATCCACTGAATAAGAGCAGCGAGAAATGAGACGGTTTGAGCAAAAACACACAACGAAGCACAAAAAGATGATTGTCATTGAGAAATTCTTTTAGGTTTTTTGGGTTGTTTTTGTTTTTTTTTTTGGGGGGGGGGGGTGAGGGGGGGCGACTTTGCTTCTGACACTACGCTTCAGCTGACGTATCCCCCCGCCACATTCCTGCTTTTTTCATAGATATGTTCTGTTTCCAAGAACATCAAGAATAGACCACCAAATACCTTACCTTGCAAAAGTATTCATGCCTGACGTTTTTCCACATTCTTTTTATATTACAACCACAAGCTTCAATGTATTTTATTGGGATTTTACATTGCAGACAAACACAGGTTACTGCATAATAGAGCAGTAACAGTAAAATGTTGGTTTTCATTTTATATTTTATGTTTATATGTAGGAGTTGGTGATTCCACCTCAGTATGAATGCAACAACGTAAAGAGCAGCGGGGACAGCAAATATGTGCAGAAAGATGCTCTGGTCAGATAAGACCAAGTTTAAACTTTTTGGCCCAAATTTAAAATTATATGTGAAATACTAACAAAGCATCTCACTGTCTTCAAAATGAAACGTAGTATTGGGATCATTGCACTTTGAGGATGCATCATTTTTTTTAAAATCAGGAACAGAGAAGCTGGTCAGTTTATAAGAATGGACGTATCGAAATACAGGGACAAAAATCTATTAGAGAATGGACACAATAAGAGTTTATGAAGAGGTTCATTTGCCAATAAGAATTGACCCTGGCACACAGCCAGAACTATTTGTGTTTGAGAGTGGTCTAGTTAAAGTTCAAACCTATATCCAATTGGGAATCTGCAGCAAAACTTTAAAGCATACATGTGATTCAAATAAGCTTGGACTATTTTATAAAGTCAATTTGGTCAAAAATTCACTTATTGAATGTGCAACGCTGTTCAAAGATCCTACAGCTTGGATCGCATCAAAATGAGGTACGGCTACATGATTACCCAGAACGCTACATGGAAATGCAGAAGACATCACATTTCCTTCTGCTTTATAATTATGCATCACTTTGTAAAATCCCAAGAAAATAGATTAAAATTTGTGTAGCCAAGCTCAATGTGAAGAAATTCAAGTGATATTAGTACTTTTTCAAGGCCCTATTAACTTGTATTTTTTTCACATTAGGGATCGTTACTGAAAGATTTCCTCACATTCACTCCAGTAAAGATCCACACCAATGAAGAGCAATATTAATATCCAGAACAGAAAACAGTCCTTCATTCTCGTCCTCTTGGGACAGATTTTCTTTCGCTCGGTTTCTCGGTCCGAGCTTGCTGCGACGTTTGCCTGATGGCTGACATTTAAAAATGCAAACAAAGCATATTTCTTAAAAACTGGGAAATGTAGACAGGCTACATCAGTTAATACTGGGTGACAATTTGGAGACAAAAGAAGCAAAATATGTCTATCAGAACCACTATTAAAGCTCACATTCAAAACAAATCACACAGTTTTGTCAAGTTCTATGAGTAGATTCTTGATTTTCTTTTTCCTTCCACATATATAGTATTTCCTCAACGTTTTTTTGCGTTGACTTGTGCTACACCGACTTTGTGCAAGTGTGAGGATCAACTTATTTCCTTTTTTTTTTTTTTTTCATACAATGCTGCGGGAGCCGCTGGAGTTGCGCCGGCGGGTGAGGGGCATGGTGTGGTGGAAGGGCATGGGCGAGTCAGGTGGACAGAACTGGTGGGGGTGGTTGTAAGGAGGAGGAGGAGGCGGCAGGGGCGGCTGGGGTCCGTCTCCCTCTCTGACTCGGACGGGAGTAGACATGGCAGACTGGATGAGCTGATGGGTCGCTGGGCCTTGGCTGAGAAACGCCTCCATCCGTCCCCGTCCGCTCTGGTCCACAACGATCACCTTGACAATCTGCTGGCACTGGATGAGGGTCTCTGGGCGGAGCTCTCCGGCCTGGACGGGGCTGAGCAGGGTGGGGGGTGCAGCCAGGGCCAAGGGTGCGGACTCAATGCTGGGCTGGCTCAGCTGATAGGTCTGCAGCCTGTTGTGAATTGACACCTAGTTTAGGAACAGTCAGAGAACGCATGAGGAGTTACCAGCCTGAACGCAGCCTCTACGCAGCCCTCTGGTGTGTTAACGCACATGGGCATGCAGGCATGCAGGTGGTGGCATGCAGTGCGAGCGCATGCAAGATTCACACTCTCTCCTGCTGTCCCTAATCTATTTACTAAATCCACATTCAGATTTCATTTCCGGCCACAATTTATGCAAACACCAGCCCGGGAGGAGAAAACGGGGGGGCCGTGGGGTAAGACGAGATCGTAGGCAGAAGTTTTAGCAGGAACAGTTCGGGTTTTAGGTATGTGGGTGTGCCGTAATAGAAAATGAGTGGCAGAATGATAGGCTTAGAGATAAAGGAGTATCAGGAGAGGAAAGAGGCGACACCGAGGGCGTGGTGTCTCCCTAACACAATAAGTTACAACTCTAAGGGGCTAAGCAAAAGGCAGGGGGAAGAGGGGAAAATGAGTAAAACAAGGACAGAACTCCAAAAGAAAGAACAGATTCATCTATATGCCTATGTTTAAAGAGATGGTAAAGGATTTTTTTTTCTCAAAGAGGTTCTATTAAAAGGCTATATGCAGTTAATATGTCCCCAGTAGTAACTGGGTCTTTATTTAGCATAAATCCACTTCTATTTTAAAACAACTCCAGTGATTTTGTGGTAGCACAACGCCGTAGCTGCAGAACAGAAGCCTCATATTCAGAGGTCATTAGTCATTGCAATCTGTCTGGGGTTCAGTTCCTGGACTAGGGAACTTTTCTGCATGTTTCCATCCCTTTACTCTGCCTATCTCCATGGCTACAGTGAATAAAGGCCATGAGAATCACACAATTCCTTAAAAACACTTTTATGACCCTTCTGTTTGGTGAACTTTAAAATGTCGTCATGTTTGCATTAGGCGGGTAATGACACAGTCACTGACCATTTACGCAGAAAATGGGGTTGGAGGTGATACAACGCTATGTAAAACACCCTGAGCATGTGATGTATTAAGGATTTCAGACAACAGTAAGGCTGTGTAAAAAGTGGAAATATTGTATCTCTTTAAGTGAACACAATTTCAGGGATTTTTTTTTCAATGCCTTGCTTTTCTGCTTGATAATCAGAAATGCTTTAAATGTTCCGTTCTTAACACATGCGTTTCACTGGACACCTCCTCCAACTTCCACTTCCTCTATAAATTATCGTCAACTTCTCTGTGAATAACTGGCCAATGAACACATGACAGCAGCTTAAAGATCCATAAAATATCAGTAGAATAACATTTTTGAAATTGGAGTTGTTTTAAAAATGTTTGAGGTCTCCTCTTCGGTCAAGGCACCTGTTAGACTATTCACTAGCTTTGCTCTCCGAGGCCAACTGATCTGGATTTTTATTCAGTTCAAATCACCACGAGAGTTATTAACTGTTGATAACCTTTTAATAGAAGCACAGTTACAAAATCCAGGACTATCACTTTAAAGGAGGAGCTTGATCCACCGAGATCCAACAACATTAACACATGCACCTTTTGACTTTTACAGTATCAATCAAGCTCATCTAGCCTTGTCGATGGTATTCCAGGACCCGGCCAACCTTGTGCTCGCTCACATAGGAAGTCTGGAAGGTTTCAGCGGGTGATGTCTGAAGGGCTGTTTTGTAAGCAGCGGCTGCTGGTCCACTTATCAGAAACAGAATGAGGCTGTTTGCAGCGCTACTACAGAGCCACCTCTTAGCAGCCTTTGTAGGCTTGTCTGTATAGTAGGGATGTGCTGCAGGCGGTGCTCTTTTAAAGCAAAGCAAAAAGCACTCTCCTTTCAGGATGAGCCACAGTCCCTGTCTAACTGCATATACACACACAAACGCGCGCAACATTCACAGAGCTGAATATGCAGATACTTACCTGAGGGAGACGAGAGTAGCTTAGGCACTCACCTCTACTGTGTTGTTGTTGCCAGTTTTATCATACACATCCTGTTGGCCTGTGGGATGAAAATTTATCTCTGTCAGTCATCTGGCAAATATGTATACTAAAAAAACCAAGGATATTACATAGGGACCTGACATTTAGTTAATGTATGCCTCATTATGCTACACAAGCAAAACCAGCACCTGAGGGAGAGCCATGTCCCGTGTGTGTGTCCATTTGCCCGCCATTGGTGTGTAAACCATGCGACTGGATCCCCTGCTGCCTCTCCAGCTCCCCTACAAGGCGAAACGGGCAAGTGCTGCTGTCAGCGCCTGACGGCGTGCCACGGTTTTAATCAAATGTCCACGTAATGAGAGAGCAGCGTGCTTGTGTCCTTACACTGAATGTGAATCTGCTCCATCTCGTTGACCTCTGCGATCGCCTCTCTGAGCTCCTCCGCAAACTTCCTGAGCTCCTCTCCGCTGGGAGAGCAGAAGCTAACCAGCTGCTTCTTCTCTGAGGTAAAGGGGCTCATCATGGTAATGCCGTGAGCGTAATCTGAGCAAATACCCAAAGAGAGAGGAAAAGGAAGAACTTCAATTATATCCGTGAGGTGGGAAAATGTGCTTCCTGCGGACCGTTAAACCTGAATTCACCTACGATTCATTTTTCTAAAAGACTGCAGCTAATAAAACGCCCTTAACATAGACTTTCAAATCATGGGTTAAAAAAATATATATACAGTCTACAGTCACCAGATTGTGTGGGGAGGGGGCTAAAAAAATAAATGTGCTAATGTGTAATGTCAGTTCATTGTTTTGTAATTGCTTGAAACCACATGTATAAAATGCATAAAAATGCAACATTTTATTTAAGATTGCAACATTTTGTGTGTTGTGAATTCAGCTGCTGCTGAAACTGACACGTTAATCTGATCATAAACTCTTTCCATCAGAAATTAGAGATAAGGGAGAACATTAATACAAATGAGTCTGGACATTTTGGTCCCTTGTCGATTTCCTTTGCTCTATTGTAATTTATTTATAAATGTTTTTTTTTTTACAGCTTCAGACAGGAGGTTGAACTATTCTTTCATCTTAAATATTTGAATCGGTTACAGTAAAGCACTTTTACTGAAGGACATTTACCACAATTTGATAGCAACGTGTGCCATTATGTATTGCAATGAAACCCTCACAGTCTGAGTGCTAACACTGACCTGAAAGAACAACAGTAAAATAGACAACTTGGCGAGCTCAGCACTTTTTATGCACAAAGCTGGGGCTTGTAATGGGAATAAATTGCTGCAAAGTAAAGTAGCATCTTACACTCATTGCTGAAGAGGTGAAACTGCATTCCCAGAAGACCCATAGCTTTACAGAAAGTGTATGAAGCTGAGCTTTTCTTCTTGGGACACAGCTTCAGGATCTGCACACACACAAAGATGGTAAACTCTCCGTCGCCGCATGCTGGGTATCAAACCACATTTCCTATTGGGCACGTGACAGCATGCATGCTCACGCACACCAGTGTCCCTTTCTGAAGGTCAATCCTTACCAGCAGCAGGTCATTAAAGAGGAACACCTCCCTTTGGAGTGCAGAGAGCTTCTGTTTGTGAGGTTTGTTGGCATCGGGAACCTCAAACAGACGGCAGCAGCACACCAGCCGTCTGTGGGGCACAGCGAGGACCTGAAGGAACAAGGTTAAAGAGGCGGAGAGGGCGGCTAATGCGAAACAGACTGCTGCGAGACAATTCAAACCGAACGAGACACGAGTAAACTGTGAAGTAAAGAGGAAAAGTCTGATACTGACTGTCTTCAGGCCCAGGATGGACTGCTCCACACGACTCACGTATGTGACATGGTCTTCGTTGGAGCGCAGCTCTCTCTGCTGAATCCTTTCATAAATGCCTGCAACCATCTCTCTGGGGATGTCTGCTCCGTCATCCACACCTGAGAGAATTCAAAGGTTCATTCAATGCTGGAGTGATTGTGATAAAAAAACAAAAAAAAACAACTCACATGAGGTTCTGATACCTTTGCTCTGTGGCACAGAAAGCTTCAAAGCATCAAATCAGAAGCAATAAATACAAATTATAGTCTTTAAAATGTATTTTCTATGTTTTGAAACCCTCTAAATCAATAAATAATTATTCAAACTGGAGCAGAATTTTGTGTACCTCTCACGTCTGCAGTGTGTCCGTGCTCATTTTCTGTTGCTGCTGCGCAGTTGAGTGTTTTACTGAGGAATCTGATAGCAGTAATCTAAATAGTTTAGTGAAGCCAAGGCTAGATTTTTGCATAGAATCCTTCACAACCAAAGTCGCTAAATTTGCTTTAGAGGAGAAGAAGCGTTTCAAGGAAAAGAACATTAAAAAAAAAAACAAGAAGTCTCGCATTAAAAGAAAAACTCAGTGAAATGCAAGTTCGAAATAATTAAATACCTAAAACATAAAATGAAACTGACAAAATAATCTTTGACCTTGTAGAAAATTAAAACAAAGCGATTTCTGCATATGTGGTGTTTTCATGTTGTCAGTTCCAGAGCTGAGGGGAACAGAAACTAAACACTGCCTCCTCTTATTTGATTCTGGTCTAACAAACACGAATGAAGAAACAGCAACCTGGTGATATGAGAATCCATCTAGCGATTTAAAAACCATTAGCAAGATTTTAATCCATCTCATCTGTCTTTTTACAAACAGGGAACCAGTGCACTGATTTAAGTTCTGGTGGGATATGATCCATTTTCCTGGTGTTTTGTCAGGATCTTGGCAACAACATATTATATTTGCCCGATTCTTTTTTTTTTTATTCACACTTCTAAAGGCACCATAACAATAATATAACCTGCAAAAAGTATGTTGTTCAGTTTCTTTAGACTCCCAATTGTTAAATGACACGCAGGATTGCTTTATAATTCATTGGTGCATGAACCTAATAAAGCATATAGATATGAATTTACATTACTTTGTAATTTAAAATTTGCAAAGTTTGCTACGTAGAGTGTATAAAACCTTCCACGGTTCTAGCTTATAAAATATAGATATAATTTTTATTCTTGAGCTATATGACAGCAACTCGTTCTAGCTTTCTTATACTGTGCATGTCACTATGTTGTCTAATGGAGGGAGAAAAATTAAATTAGAATTAAATGTAAACATGACCATGCATGTCACAAACATGGTAGCCTGCTCAGCTTTTTCAGACTTTTCGTAGAAATTTGATCAAACAAACAGGACTTTAAATAGTTTAACATAAGAAAAAAAATTTCTTCAGGTACAGGGAGCTGTTTAAGTAGTTAAATAAATGATACCAAATTGAAATTCATGACACAATTCAGACGACGGCACGGTCTGCAGGAATTACTGTGCTGAGTATTGGATTTTTCTATTTGTTTTCTGCTTCTGTGTTCTGTGTTGTTATCTCCTATTCTACTTCATTTAATCTCGCTTTTGTTACTATGATTGCTTTTGTTTTACCTTTCTCCTCTTGTCATTTAATTTAACTGCTGTCCCTCACACACCTGGCTGTTGTTTGCTGATTGCCACTCAGCCGTTCTTCATTTGTTTTTAATTATCTCTGTACAAATTGTGGCAAAATTCTTGGGCTCACGGCCAGATAGTTTTAATTGTTTCTTCCCCTGCCTAATGCCCGACACATTATGGATTACCGTCTGTTTAAACTTTCTTTTGATTTTCCTTCCGCAGCACTGTTGGGTTCTCAGCTCCTTTTTGAAACAGAATAAAATTAAACATTTCTCCCCATCTTCTGCATCCTCATCGTTTTTCATTTTCACCTTAGCACTCATCTCAGCATTCCTTTTTGGCCGATACTGTAAGTTTTGATTATTCACACATTGTGGCCGTGAATCACTTCAGAGCGTAACTGGATGCAACAGTCATATTGACAGTTAATAATCTGAATGGATTGAAGACTAAATAGTTTAGGTTCAAAAAATTAAAATACTGTGAAAACGTTTCCGATTTTTTATTACTCATTTTTGAATGGATGGACTGAATGGATAGACTCGCGGATGAACCGTTTGGTAGTAGAAAACTTGCATAGGCATATTTCACCCATTGTCACGCCTCTTCACAGCCACCCAGGCTACAACACAAAATATAAGAAAAAAACAGAAGTACATGCAGACCAACCAGGCATTTGACATTGAAACTCGCCTATTATACAAACACACAAATGTAAAAATGTCATAAAGCAGGTTGCTCAGAGTGCTAAGATATTAATAAAACATTGAGTAGAAGAGAAAGTGTGGAAGACAAAGGTGCATCAGCAACAAGCCAAACTGCAGCTTCAGCAGCTTTAACAACCTCAGTTTCTAGGTGTGGACTGAGGCTGGAGTCAGTTGATCAAGACCAACTACACACAGACCAACCCAACACCTGGGCTATAAATGTGGCCTTCCTTGTGTCAAGTCAACACTGTCTTTCCTGACTAAGGAGAGAAAGAACTGAACTATTTCTCAGTGGTCCAAACTCCTCTTTTCAGATGAAAAAAAAAAAAAAGCATTCTATTTCATTTGGAAATCAATGTCCCAAAGTCTAGGGGAAGAGCGGAGAGGCACAGGAGTCACAGAAGCTTGAAGTGCAGAGCGACGTTTGATGGTTTGGGGTGCCAAATCATCTGCTGTTATTGGACCACTTTGTTTTCTGAAGTCTACAGTCAACACAGCCACCAACCAAAACATTTTTGATTACTTCAAGCTTTTATTCTGCAAACCGCTTTATAGAGACGCTACTTTCCAACAGGACTTGGCATCTGCCCACACTGCCAAGGTTACCAAAAGCTATTTTAATGACCATGCTGTTACTGTGCTTGATTGCTGCCAGTTTGCTGACAAGAGGAAGAGGAGATACTCCAAAGCCAATAACGCCACACCATATTGAGGCAATAATTCATGCAAAAGAAGGCCCAACCAAGTACTGCGTGCGTAGACATTAACACATGAAGCCTGACATGGATGTTTAAAATACACTTTTTATTGGTCTTACGTGATTCCACAATTTTCTGAGATGTTGCATTTTGAATTTTCATTATCTGTAAGTCTTAACCATCACAATTACAAGAATTAAATACTTGAAAGATTTCACTTTATGTGTAATGAATCTTAATATGACAGTTTCAATTCCTGAAATATTGTAATTTTGAAGCTGCACTTTTGTATATGTGATTGTGAGGACAGGGAATTATCAACATCAATTTCAAACTTGTGCAAGCAATCTGCACAAGTTTGACAATGTTTTTTTTTTTTTCCTTACCTGGTTCTAACTGTTTAATGGGATATGAAAAGAATTATAATCAATTAAGTATAATTAATGTGTATCTTTTTTTTTTTTTTTTTTTTTAGATTACAGGAGAAAAGTTGTTCCAGCTGCTGATGCTTGTACCTGTTTACCTGTGGGATAGACAGCATTAGAAGTTTCAGGTAATTCAATAAAGGTGATAAGATGTTTCTGGAAAACCAAGGATCACTATCATTAAATCTGACACTGAGCGAGACTTAATTAACTGCGTCGATTCCAGAGCAGAGTCAAGGATATCAGAAATCTCATCCTGCGAAGCTGATGTTTTTCTGACGATAGCAAGCAGAGGCAGGCATCCACAGCCTCTTTGATTAATTTATTTCAGTTCAAGAGGCCGTCACTCAGAAAACCGATAGTAAGGTTGATATGAGGCAGCTTGTTGTAAAGCTTTGACTTGCCCTGCCCTCTCCTCCTCTCTTCATCTTCCTCATCATTCTTCCTGGCATTTCATCCCAATTAATCTCCTCCACATCAACAGTCAAGTGTTTCAGCTGTACATCTGTGCACATCTGGTTTCTATATATATATAAAGTTTTAGCCAATCTAAAAAAAAAAAAAGATCTCTGCTCATAAAACCACCCGTCATGAAGTGAGAAACTTGCCTGCTGCTCATTATACCACCTCTGTTCACAAGACCCTATATAGCACAGTGTCAATCTCACAAGTGTGCACTAAAACACACACAAACAGATGCGGCACAATAAAATCGAACACCGACCTCTCAGGTTGCGTATGAAGTCGTCGAGCCCCATTTTGCGGTGCGGCTTGATGTTGGGGGAATACATGTCGGTGTTGAGGAGGACCACAGCGAAGGCCAGGATGAAGATGGTGTCTGGGTTGTGAAACTGCTGCACCACATCAGGGTTACACATACAGTACCGCTGACTGAGGAGACAAAAGAACAGAAGAAAGGTATGTAGTGACTTTATACGACTTTATTACAACATCGTCTTAATATTTTTTTTGTTTTATCACAATTATAGGTGGAGAAAGCAAGGTCCATTTAGGTATGATTCGCATAAATCTGATTGATGATTAAATCCTAAATCTAAAGGGTATTGGTGACAGTCTAAGGAAACATGAGAAGTGCAGTTGCAAAATATGATCCAAAAAATGAAGACATATTTTGCATTCTGTAAATATTAAACTTTTTTTTTTTTGCTTCATCTACCTGCATCACACTGTCCTAAACTAAAAAAATAACTTCAATGTTGAACTTTCCCACATAATTATTTGATGACAATAATTATATGTTCCTACAACGCTGTTGTAGGAACTTTACACATCTTAGCAGTATATCAGAAAGCGTGATGTTCAGTCATCATATGTTGACAAATGGCTACACGCACAGCACAAACGGACAGCATACAATAGGATTTTAATGTGCTCTATCAGGCCAGGATTGAATCATTCTACACAGCCCACAGATTTGCAACATGCAAGCTTTGATTGGTAAAATATAAGATATGTGTGTGTGGGGAATAGAATCTCAAGTGTTTCAAATCAAATGCCACAGAGTTCAGCCTCATCATTAAATAAACAATATAAAGTCAAAATGAATAAGTCTGAAAAAAAAATAGGTATGCAACGAGAACCATAAAAGGTAGGAACTTTCTTTTTATTTGATTATAAACTGATGAAAAGTGACCAAGCTTAAATTAATAAGTAGCTATTTTAAAATATTGGACTGACATCCAACCAACAAAACCTGAACTTTTTCCACTGGGGAAGTATTTTCTTTCTATAAAAGATTTAAACTTCCACTTTGTGTAGTTTTACATCAAATCATACTGGGCTTTTAATTATTCAGAGATTCTTAACTCAGAAAAAGTGGGTAGCTATATTCCTCTCTGAAAAAGAATATAAGTAGCAATTTGTTTAAAATTAATAGTGTTGTGTTGTTGCTGGGATGGTGTGAAATCCTACACGTCTCTCCCATTTATCAAGAAACACCAGGAAAAACAATAACTCGCATAGAACAACAGACCTGCAATGAGTCACGCATTCCTCGAGAAGATTTGTTTTATCTTTCTTTTAGGATTCATCAAGTTATCAATTATGCTACACATGCCATTGGAAGTGCTAAACTCAACTTTAGGACACATTACATTGAAAGAGCACTCTGTTCGCCGTGTATGTTCACTGACTGACTGCAGCTTCTGCTCACATGGAAGGAGCAGTCATGAGGGAGACTGACAGGACGGAGGAGGCTTTTGACAGTGCAGAAGAGTCCTGCCCCGGGTCAGCCAATGCTGTTTGGAGTCACTGAGGCTGCATTTGGACTTTCTTTACCCCACTGCTGCCCACAGGCTTCACAAACTCTCGTTTCCACCTCTCCATCCCCCCAATAGCTTTCTCTCCTTACTGTCACAATAACTTACACAGTGGGCCATCTCAGTAGTGGGAGGCTTTTATCTTTATAGGCAGACAGGATGCAGACATGGAGAAAGCCCCTCTGCTCCAAAGAACTATGTACTTGTCAAAGCATGTGCAACTAAAAGCCTGCATCTGAGACCTCTATAACCGCAAAACAATTTCCCACATCCTATACTAGATCTAAGGCCGGGGAACGTATAGGATATCAATCAAACAGCCTTGCTACCCCTTTATTTTAAGGGAGCTGCTTCCAGGCTCAAACATCCCTGCAGTTATAACAAGCGTGCATGCAGAGCCGCAAACAAAACTCCTGATGTGCCAAGTTGATGCAATTCTGCAGCAATTTTGGAGAAGCGTGCAGTATGCAAAAAGACATGTGCACAGACATGTAGGAGCATTTGTGAGAGCAAACTGCAAGCGAATAAATGAAGTGGTAAATTCCGTCTGTGCATGGATTCGTGTTTCATTCACACAGTTCTAAATCTTATGTAACCAGTTTATTTAAACTCAGGCTCCAGATCTCTTTGCTTCATATCTGCACATAAAAGTTGCATGCCAGCTGGCACAAATACCACTTGGTATAAAAAAAAAAAAAAAAAAAAAAAAAAACACTCCCAACAAGAGCACAACAACCCTCAAACAGATGACATAACAACGGTTACGTAACTGACGTTGGATTGGATGTCTGGCTTTCCTGATTAAAAAACACAACTCTATTTCTGACCTGTACTCACAACTCCCATCTGCAGCCTGGGGAGTGTGGTTTTACTTTGCTGATGGCTTTGTAATTTGCGCCGAGAGGCTCGGGGCACATGATTGAGTGCAATGTGATTAACTGATGACCGCAGTGGGTGTTCTGATTGGCCATCAAATGGGAATCGGAGATCATTTCTTTCACTCCTAGGAGGAAGAATTCACTTTAGAGAGTAGATGCAAGTGGTTAGTGCGTTCCGACGACAGCAGAGTAAAAGTACAAGACCAACAATTCATTGGTTCTTCCGTCAAGTTTTAGTTCAAACCGGCTCCTCTGCGACAAATTGTTGCGCCTACAGTCCCAATCAAAGTGTTTAAAAAAAACAAAACAAAAAAAAACAATCTTCTAATTAATCTTGTTTTTAGACATTGGAAAACATTAGCACTGAGTTCACTGCAAGGACAGTGCCTTGCAGCAATATACACTTTTCCGCAGTTTGTCACTTTATTATTATGCGTATATATATATATATATATATATATATATATATTTATACATGTACATATGTAAAAGTTTTTCATTATCTACTACAAATATAAATCTGAAAATGCATAAAACTCTTCACCTATAGAATCAATCTATAAAAACAACTTTGGTTGCAATTACAGCTTCAAGTCATCTAAGAATCTCACATTCTCACATTTAAAGATGGATTTCTTTGTCCATTCTTGTTTGCAGCCTGGACCAAGTTGAGACAGATTTGATGAAGAACATGTGGCAAAACTTAAAAAGAGTTTTTAAGTTTTGCCACATATACTTCATTAATTTTATCCTTGGATCTCTGCAGCTTCTTCGGAGTTGCCATGGGCCTCGTGGCTGCTTCATTCACCAAGGCCAAGCAGCCAGATTAAGTGGAAGGTCATGTAAGATGAAGGAAGAATTACACTCGAGTGAATGCTACTTATAAACTAGGCAACGATGGAAGATAGCTGCTTGAATTAGATTTTATTTAGGGATATCATGGCGAGGGGGCTCAATGCAGAACTAAAGCATACCTTTCTTTACATCTAATTCCTCACTACTGTGTATTTGTCTTTCATATGGAACCTTTGTAAAAAAAAAAAAAAAAAGAAACAAACAGACAATACTATCCATGCTAAAAACCAACAATACTCTTTTGATAGTACTGTAAGCTAAAGCAGAAAGACAGCACTGTTTAGGAGGCACAGAACAACCAAAAACAAAAGATGCGGTCCACCACAAACAATGCCATACACACAAGCATGCCTGATCCCCACACAGAGTGGGAGACCTCGCTCAAACCCATCTATAGGTAAAGCAAATCTGTGGCCACCAAACAGCACTAAGCTACAAGTCACCCTTTGCCAGAGAATGAGAAAACAAGCCTGGTGAAAATTAACAGCTTTTTTTTTTTTCTTTAGTTCGTTAAAACCCAAAATAAACAAATTTTTGTGGATCAGCTGAGTTTGAGCTTGTTATGCACAATGCAGACTGAAACGAGGTGGTGGGTGTGCGCTGATTAACGAGGGCTCTAGCGCAGAGGGAAGCAGAGATGACATTTAGAGATGGTTCTATAAATTCACACAGATACTGAACAAACAAGATGAGTCCCAAAAGGAATTTTCCGACAATTAATTGCAAAACCAGGTATTGCAATTTTCTATTTTTCCAAGCAAACTAGAAAAACCCTGCATAAATTTTCAAAATAAAAATAAAATTACTTCACATATGTATTCTCAGGCTTGAGTTAAAAAGTCTATTATCATTCATAGCCATTAGTGTTTTTGTCATAAATAAAATTGTCAGATTATTATGGAAGATGGTTTTGTATGCTACACCGGTATTTCTAAATTGTCGCTTTTTTTTTTTTTTTTGGAAAGTTGTGGCGTGTTAATTGTGAAAAAGTAGTTGCCTGACAGAGTTTTTTTTTGTCCTTTATTTTTAACTTTTTGTTACTTCTTCTATTTTAAAGATCATCAAAAACTTTTAAAAGTAGACCACAACAAACCAAGCTTTAAAAGTGCTGTTTTTAATGAGAATGTTTGCTAAGGGAAAAATTTCAATCCACCCATTCTGGCTCTTTATGAAATTTACCTCCAAAATCTAATAACTGGTATGTCACCCTTGGCGTCAATAACCGTCTTCAGAAATTTGGTCCAATTGGCAATTAACCTTTTATATCACTGCTGATAATCTTTGATGCATTCTTTTTGGCAAATTTGTTTATATTAATCAAGAGAGAAGGGTTATATTCCTGCAGAGTCAGACCTGCAGGTATAATTTGGCTCATTCTCTTACTGCATAATCCATCAGCTCCAGAGCTTAAGGTCACAAACTGATGGTCAAACATTTTCCTGAAGGTACAGAACAGAATTCATGAAAACATTAGTCAGCAGTTGTTTTCAAATTTGAACTCTTCCATAGGGCCAGGTTGGCATGGCTTGCTTTATTTGCCCTAATGAATTAGATAATTATTAGGAAACTGCACCATGATTATCATTTATAAAAATTAGATCAATTAGATCAATTGTCAAACATATAAGTCTGAAAAAAGGAATAACAGAAAAAACTCCTTCTATACCTCTTCACAATATTGCCCTTAGCGCCAATACTGTGAATTCGTAATTTAAAAAAAAAAAGCAATAGACTTAAAGGTCATGCTCCATCAGCCTATCCTGCCTCCACCTCAATTGTCAAACAGTTATAAGTCTGAAAAAAGGAATAACAGAAAAAACTCCTTCTATACCTCTTCACAATATTGCCCTTAGCGCCAATACTGTGAATTCGTAATTTAAAAAAAAAAAGCAATAGACTTAAAGGTCATGCTC